CTTGTTAGAAAAAGAAGTTACAAATGAAGAAAGGGATATCTAAAATGAACCAGGTGGTACTGGATTGAAATCTGAGATATCAGTATATGTTGTTAGTTTTTATTTTTTATTTTCATAAATGTGTGTGTGTGTGTGTCTGTGTGTAGACAGAGTTATGTGTGAGTTGGTACTTATACATGCATTTCTTAGCTCTACCTACTGTGAAATACCCAAAGCTTATTGCTATAAGCACGCCTACTGCTCAGGTCTTGTTTTGTAAACACTATTCAATGAAAGATAGTGGAGAAGTAAATGGTGCCAGGTCTGGGCAGGGTAAATACAAGAAGAGCTTGGAACACCTTGGGGTGCCAGAAAGCAAGAAAGTGCTTTAAAGGACAAAAGCCTCTTGAAAGAACACAAATGCTAGCCTGAAAGAGATCTTAAATGACCAACTTTGAAACAAATTGAGCAACAAAGTTAATACAGCATTGGACTATAACCAGTGGAATAAAATAAGCCCATGTTTATTAGTTAAATTAAATAAATGCCTGGAGGGAAAGACGTAACTCTTCTTTCCTATACATTCCAGTTAATAAATGTCAAAGGAAATGGAAAATCATTTTTAGACAAATCCCTCAGTAATAATTGTTGTATACAATGATCTCAAAGTATCTTCCCCAGGGGCCTCCCTGGTGGTGCCAGGGATTAAGACTCAGCCTGTGAAGCTCACCGTAGCCACTGCAGCATGAGTTCGATTCCCAGCCAGGGAGCTACCCACATGGTGCGGCAGACCTCTCCTGACTTGCCCACTGCTCCCCTCAGCAGTGTGTTTTTGTCAGTCTTCCTGTTCTGTTCCCCACTCTGTCTCTGGTGAATCCTCTCAGCCCCCACAACTCTGGCCTATACCCCAGTTCTTGTATGTATAAATAAATAAATCTTTTTAAAAAAATATTATCTTGGGCCTCCCCAGTGGCGCAGTGGGTTGAGCGCAGCACTGTGAAGCTGTCTGCAGCTTCTGCAGCGCAGATTCGATTCCCAGCTGGCCAGGGAGATTGCCACATGGAGCAGCAGACCTCTCCTATCTCACCCACTGCTCCCCTCAGCAGTGCTTTCGGTCTGTCTGCCTGTTCTTCTCCCTGCTCTGTCTCTGGTGAATCCTCTCACCCTCCCGCACCTCTGGCCTGTACCCCAGCTATTATATGAATAAAAAAATAAATCTTAAAAAAAAAAATAGTATCTTCCCCAAGATATGTTTATGACAATGGGGCAAATAGAAACTACAGTAGAGAAACCTTTATCTTAACCAAGTGGTCAAAGTCAGCCTCCCCCATAACAACACTAAGAACCCCATGATATAATCCACTGAGGACGCAGCATTGTTCTGTCATATTCTTGCCCAGAAGTCTCAAGTGGATTATGCAGAAAACATCAGACCGACTGACATTTGACAGATGAACTAATCACTGTTCCTCACAAGTGTTAGGGTCATGAAAGGCAAAGACTGAGGGGCCCACGCAGACCTGGGAAACTACAGGTCTCCAGGAACAGCAGGTAGATGCAGCACAGGGTACTGGATAGATAACTCCCGGAGTCAGAGGAGCCCCCAAGGGCACTGGCGAATGCTGAATGCCATTGGTTAATCGTGTTTTGTCAATGTTGTGGGGTTTTACTGGGTTTTTTGTTTGTTTGTTTTGATAATTACACTGAGTTATCAACAATAAGGGAAGTTGGGTGAGGGATATACAAAAACTCTGTGTACTACTTTTGCAGCATTTCTGTAAGTCTAAAATTAGTTCAGGATAAAAAGTTTAAAAAATAAATAAAAGTCCTATTGCCAAAAAAAAAAAAAAATCAGATAGAACTCCAGGCTGGAAAATTACTGAGGCAGAACCCAAGTCTGGAGCCATGGAGCCATTCTTAGCTTCCAGTCCCTGGGTGAGGATTAGAGTCACATCTGAGGAACAGAAGAAAGTAGTGATTTACACTGAGCCTCCAGATCCTTAAAATATTAAAATCCAAACTGCCAAGGACTAGAAGAGGTGTCCTAAGTCAGAAGTTCAAGTGCTGAGGAGGGAGTTGGAGAAGGTGAGGCAGAAAGGAGCTGTAGAGTAAGAACACAGGCACAGACCTGGGGCAGGGCAGTTGCAACATTAGATTCAAGCAAAACAAATTCCAGTCATGTAAATTAAACTTGTATGTCCAAATGAAGTCCAGATATGCAAAGCTGCCTTTCCTCTTTGTGAGATTAGCTTAATCCTGTCACAGATTCTTCATTCCAAGTAGAAAATGGTCTTTGGAGAGTGAAGGCCTGGGACCTTTCACACAAACCTGACAGATGTGCTGGCACTCAGCCATTTGATTAGGGCCTTTGATGAGGATTATGCTTAGTTTTATCATTTCTTGTGTATTAAACTAAAAACTGTTTTGCCTGAGGGTAGGCTCATGCCGCTCTCTCTTTTTTTTATATAACCTACAAAACTGTCCTTTTCCTTGTTCCCTCACAGGAGTAACCTAAAATTTGCTCACTGTCTCCTTCAAAGAATTAATATTATTCTGGTCATATCCGATCTATTTTGGAGAGAGTCTATTTTGGATAAAATGTTTAGGGATTTAGCGTAAGAAAAACTAGAATTGGGGAAAAAATCAATAACATAAGAGCCAAAAATAAATTTCCAGCAAGTCATTTTGAGAAAGAAGAATTCACCAAGGAGAAAGGTTTCGCCTGCTGGTTTATTGGGGGTGGGCTAATTCTGAACCATTCCCAACAAGTTGGAATAACAGTGACTGAGTCCAGGGTGGTCTGACCTAATCTTGTCACTGAACATTAGTATGTAAAAGACTAAAGAAAAAATCATATTCCCAGACTTTTCTACTTTCATACATAACAAAAATGTTAAATAATCCCAGCAGGCAACTTGGGGTTTACCCCGAATGTCCTTGACAGGAGCTACATCGTACACAGATGCATTGCATAACTGCTTTGATGGGTCTGGTGAGTTCCCTGTCTTGAATCACAGTGCATATCTCATGAAGCTGTGAAATGATCTTTCTCCCTGAATTCCACAAAGGAATCCAGACTTTCTATTTGGAATACCAAAGAAAATTTAAAATTAAAAGAAAGGTAGGGATGACTTTCACATTGACCTTTGTTAAAAAAACCTCCTTCAGACAGGACCACAGATGACTTTCAGTGAAATCAGTAAAAGAGCCTGCTCTCTAAATTTCAGGATTTCTATCGTCAAACTCAGACCTCATTACTTTAGGTAAAGGATAAGTCACAGCTGCTTTGCTCAGCTGTTTCGCTTTGACGTGTGGAATCATTGAGGCAAAATATGATGAAAGTTCTTATTGATTCAGAGTTTTGCTGTTTGCTTTTTGTAAAGTAGAGATTTGTATCCATGTGGACATAACCACTGACAGATACGTTGCTGACAACTTCCTTATTTTGTGCTTAACAGGTAATATAGCAAAGAGCAGCCCAGCTAAAGAAAAGATGGAGGTTTTTTTCCAAATGCAGTTTCTCATTTCCAGTTCCATTCTCAGATATCACGGCTTCACCCCAGCAATTCCTCACCTCAGCATAGCAACATTTTCTGTATGTTCAGGGTGTTTTTTTTTATTTCATGAGAAGGATCTCAAATTTTTTTATTGAATGAGAAGTGACGTTTGCAGCATTCCTGAGTGAACTAGAGCGATCATACCCACAGACTAGGAGTCTTTTCAAAGCATAACACTTGAGTGGTGTCTGTGGTCTGTGGAAGAGGAGTGAAGAGCTGGGGGCCCAGGAGCATGTCTGAGGGTGTCCCTGGAGCACATCTCGTGTGCCTGGCAGAGCTAGTTGAGTAAGAAAGGAACACAGAATCTGGATGGTGACATTGGTGAAGGCGAGGAGGAGGAGGCGGGGGGAGAAGGATGGTGATGGCGGCATCAGCTCCCATTCTTGAGCACATAGTACATCAAGTACTTTCTGTACATCCAAGCTGAACCGCCCCGGCCACTTGAATGTTATCCACACAGTCCCATCGCTTTTCCGGATAGTACTGAGTCTGCAGAGTGATCTAGATTTAAATCACTCACTGCTCTTGCCCTTCAGGCAAAGAAAACAACCAGAGTATATAGAGCAAGCTCTGTGCAAATTCAGACAAACAAAAAGCCAGAACTTAAAACTCCAGGTTCCAGTCAGATAACCCCAACCCCAGATGACATTAAAACTCGTACATTTAAGTTCTTTGAAGTTAAGATCTACATTTTACAAATATCTCCCTTCCTTCCTTCCTCCTGTTTTCTGATTCTGAGTGCTCAGAAAATACTTAATATTTAAATCTGGATTATTTTGTTTTTCATAGACTATAACAACTATAATTTAAAAAGTGATAACTTGAATTTTCTTTGCTTATTCCGAATGCTTTGTTACATGATCAGATTCCTGTACTGTGCCATGCTGAATAATTATCAGGAAGGTTAATAGAAATCTTTATTCTCATGTTTGCTTCCTATTTCTTTTTTTTTAAAGATTTATTTATGCATAAAAGAACTGGGGTACAAGACGGAGATATGGGATGTGAGAGGATTCACCAAAGACAGAGTGGGGAGCGGAACAGGCGGATCTACTGAAATACACTGCTGAGGGGAGAGGCGAGTGAGGCGGGAGAGGTCTACTGCCCCATGTGCGTAGCTCCCTGGTCAGGGATCAAACTCATGCTACAGTGGCTGCGGATAGCTTCATAGGTTGCGTCTAGACCCCTTGCGCCACCAGGGAGGCCCCATTGCTTCCTATTTCTTATAATCCAAAGGGAAAACTCAATTTGTATTTGTATGTTTTGTTATCATGTATACAATACAGAAATATAGTGTCAAATTTCTCGGACAAATCAAGCAGTTTCTGAGCAGTGTTTGTTTTCATTATAAAAGGTTGAGGAGTCAGGAGCCAGAAGACAGTGTTAGAGAATAATTGCATAACAACCATGACCATGGTGATTGTGAAGGATAAGCCTGTGTGCACTTTCCTCTTGTTCTTGTAGGTGGTTGCCTATCACTATTGCCAAGCAGACAATGCCTACACCTGCCTGGTGCCGGAGTTTGTCCACAACGTTGCTGCCCTGCTGTGCCGCTCACCTCAGCTGGCAGCCTACCGGGAGCAGCTGCTCCGGGAGCCTCATCTGCAGAGCATGCTGAGCCTTCGGTCCTGTGTGCAGGACCCCATGGCCTCCTTTCGGAGAGGAGTCCTGGAGCCCTTGGAGAATCTCCACAAAGGTACAGGGAAGGTGCAATGAAGGTGAAAGGTGGAGGCTCTGGAGCCCACGTTCACCTGGGGTGTGCTGGGAAAAATGATTATTTTCATCACTGTGCCAAGACTAAATGTTCCCTCACTGATGTCCTACAGGATACAGCTAACAGATAAAAGATTTTACTTGCAAAAAAATAAAAATCCCTGCAGGAACTGCTACTTCCTCCATTCTCATTCTTATTTCCAAATATAGCACATTTTCCTTGTATAAAGATAGCAAAGCTTCCAGTCCTTTCTGTGGAGTTCCAATAAGTCAGTAAAGTCACAGCCCCAGTTCTGTGTTGAGGTGTCTCTGTGCTTAGCAATCTCCTCCTCCGTACGTGTGGTTATTTTTTCTTACTCTATCAGTTCAGGTGAAATGAAATGGCGTATCTGTGGTTGCACAACCCTGTGTATTTACTAAAAACCACTTAATTGTCCCCTGTATGTATTTAAATATGTATGTCCACTACATGTATTTAAAAGGTACAAAGGTATTTTGAGAGGAAACAAAAAAGTGGAATCCATAACCTCTCACACCTTCCCTCCCTGTCACTGCTGTCGGCTGTGACCTCTGTGCCCCGTGTCCCCCTCACCAATCTCTCTGCCTCACCTCCTTAGCCACCTTTTGTCAGTGCTTAAAAGCCGAAGAAACGACTGAAGTAAGCACGCAGTTCCTGAGCAAACGTGTTTATATCTAAGAGACTTAAGGATCTTTCTTGAGGGTTTGGAGGTCCTCCTAAGAAAAAGGGATGATAATTTCCCTTCTGACTTCCATCTTCAGTTATTTCAGCCTCCATGCTGGCTACCTGGATTTCAGAGCTTCTCTTCTCAGTTCTGATGCCCTCCCTCTATCTGCACATCTGCCAACTATTTTTACCATATCCTAGATATTTTTAAAACTTGGAATTTCTCCACAAATATTTTAAGCATATTTTCTGTACATTCAGTCAATTTCTAAATCCTGTTAATTCTGCCTTCATAATGTTTCTCACATCCATTCCTACCATTATCATCCCAAAGGCTCTGCACCCGCCCACATATCACATCTGTATTACTTCCTTCCTGGTCTTCTCTGGTGTCTAGGTTAGTGTTTCTTTTAAATTGTTACACACTTAGAAAATCTGTGTGGCTGAGATTAAAAAAAGTCAGAATTCCTCACAAATGTACCTGACTGGCCTGAAGCTACATCCGTGTTGAGCCCAGTGCCTAGAAGGCTGAAGGGATTCACTTTTTAGCACCCGTTTCTGGCACATTGGGGTAAGCTCTGCTCAGTCTCTCCAGTCTTTTACATTTTTATGTCCTCTTTTCAGTTAAAACTTCATAAAGCATTGCTCTTGGAGAGATTTGGAAATCTCCAATAAATCCCTGTTATTGCTGAATTAACTTCCAGCACCTTCGTCTAGCATCTGTGGTACTTGATGACCTATGTTCCAGGCTTACTTTTACCCTTATGAACCCTGTGTTTACATGTAAACTAAAGTGCTCACTACTCCCTTACATACACTCTTTATACGTTCACTCATTGTTTCCTCTTCTTGCTGTGCCTTGTTCTCAGTTCTCTGCTGTCAGAATCCTACCCATCTTTGGAGAACCAGCTTACATACCTCCTTATTCATAAAATAGTCACTGGTCCACGCACCCTCCACTAGTAAGAGACAGTGTTCCTCAAATTGATATTAGGGTTTTTTACATCTTACTTATAGTACTCAGCATTGTTACAATACAAACTTAAAAATTTATTACTAGCATTTCTTAAACATTTACTATTTATCAAATACCATACTTTATTTGTGCTTTATAAGAAATAGCTATTTCTGTATTTATCCCCACCCCATTGAATTATATGCTATTGAAATGAGAAACCGTTTTTATACTCAACTTTTACGCTTCACCTTATCATGAATGTAGCAGGCATTCCAGGAAATACGTTTTGAATGGGTAAGTGAAGTAAATAGAAATCACTTACATGTAGGATTACCCAAAGGGAGAAATGAATATAATGTTATATGTCAACTATACCTTGATAAGTGATACAAGGATCTACATATTCTGACTAGATCAAGGAGAAAATCCAAATGTTAGCAGACACAGATTCTCAGCCATCATCTGTGTTTGATACTTAGAGTAATAGAAGTACCTGCTGCACCTTTAGGTCTCCATCATCAGCGCTAAATGTCCCTGGTGATAAGTTTTGTTTTAAGTGAATATAATTATTCCCCCTAATTCCACAGTAACTAAAGAATTTCTGTAAATCAATAATAGAAAGTTAAGTAATCCAGTTTTAAAGTGGATAAAAGATTTCCATACTTCACCAAAGAAAAGATTTATGAATAGTCTACAAGCACATGAATAGGTGTTTAACATTAATCATCAGCCACACACGAATTCAAAGCACAATGAGACACCACTCTACTCCCACTAGAATAGTTAAAATAGTCTAACATTTTTAAAGTTGATCGTCAAATGTTGGTGAGCATGATAAGCAACTGGAACTCTCATACGTTGCTGGCAGGACTATTTGGCAATTCTTGATCCAGTTAAGTAAAATCTACCTTATGACCATGCAAGTCTGTTTCTATGTCATTAACCAGGAGAAATGAAAACATATGTCTACAAAATGACTTATACAGGAATGTTTGTAGCAGCTCTCATCATAGCCATCAAAAATTGGAAAGAACCTGGATGTCCATCAACAGAAGGAAGGATAAAAAAAAAAAAAACTGTAGTCAATGGAATACTTCTTAGTTATAAATAGAAGCAAGCTAATAATACACACAACAAAGTAAATGAATCTCAACAACCTTGTTACACAAATGAAGCAAGTGTAGCTCCTGCTGATACAAACAAAACCTGTTGCCTGTTGAGGTCTGGCCAGAGGGAGCTGAGGGAACTGTGTAGAGTGCTGGAGATGTTCTATATTTTTATTGTGGGGTCAGTTGCATGAGTGTATGTATTTGTTAAAACTGATCAAAGTGTACAGTTAACTGTACACATCACATTTACCTGCATATGAATTGTGTCAGTTTTCAAGATGGAGAATATTGTAAAGGTATGTGGAGTTTTCTTTCCAGGAAAATTCAGTGGAAAACACTTTTAATTTAGCTTCAGAAGCTGTATGTCAAATTATATATAATTTTCTTTAAAAATGAGTGTCAGTATTTTTCGTAATATTTTAAGGTTCTGCAAGAACAGTGACTGAAACAGACACACACACAAAACAAGTGAAAAGGTTTTGAACTTTCTCAGTGAGCTTTTGTTTCAGCCACCAACATGAAATGAAAGGAGTTGCTAATTTGTTATCAAAATTAAATGGAAAGTAATATGCAGCTTTTCTGAACAAAAATGTTATATGACATAGGACTTCTCACCTGACACTTCACCAGCAGCAGAACCTCATACCTTGGGGGCCAGTTCTGACTTCAGTCCTGGCTGCCGTCTCTTCTGCTGCAATCTGTCACTTTTTCTCTCTCAAGCACCTAGAATAGGACCACCAAGGAAAACTTTTCAAGCATTTGTTAAATATGCATGTAAGTGGGAACAGTGAGAAGTCCCTGGGTGAATATGTAAGGAATTAAAAACAAAGGTTAAAGGGCTTAGAAAACCTAAGAGATACCATTTCTCTTGGGTAAATAATCTTTCCAGGAACTTGACAGCCAGAACAGTGACTCCTCAGCACCAGTCCATTTAAAGTTTTCATCAGTCCCTGGCAAAATAAGAAAAAGGAATAGCCTAGAATTTGTGTGGATATAGATATAGATGTAATTTCTAACATACCTGTGTGAAAAGGTTAGATGGATTATGGGCCTCCTTTTTTAACATCAAAATATTTTATATCCTATGAAATAACAATTGTGGGTAGTAGTTAGTTGCAATGTTCTTTAATGTTCTTATGTGGCAAAATATGAAGTAGCATTCCCTTGTTGGTTGGTCCCAGTTTTGTTCTGTTTTTTAATTTTCACTTATCTGTAAATCTTTGAAAGGCTACTGAGTTAGAGTTATGTATTTAAATAATCTTCAAAAGTTTGAAAATGAGCATACAGAGGGATGCTTGTAAGGCTATTTGCATTTGAAAGGCAAAGTAATACTCATTAAGGTCTCACCTCTTAAATTTATAATGAAGGAACCTCATCATTTAGCAAAGGAAAAATAAATTTTTTAGGAGTATTTGTCATCAGTTTACAATGTTGGTATCGTTTGGGAATTCTTTGCATTTAATGTTTTGAATCGTAAAAAATACATTTTTAAATTAACATACCATGCTTATTCCTTAGCAGATGAAATATTTTTTGACATCTCATTTCACCTTTGTTAATAGGTGACTTCTAAGTAACTCCTTCAAAAGAAGGTAATCTTTAAAAACCAAAAGCCAACATTTAAAACAATATAATAATCTTAAGTGGGGTGTGTATTTCTTTAAAAAAAGAAAGAAAGAAAGAAATGATATGTCTACTTACTAATGGGATGAATAATATAATTTGGGAATTTATGCAGGTGAAAATATAATTTTATTAGCAGTTGGCTTGTTTTGTTTTGTTTTGTTTCAATATAATGTCCAGCTTGTAATTTAGAGCATGTTCTTGATCTTTACACTTGAGAATGTATTTCCCGAAGAAAATGTTTCCCAAAAGAAAATTACAACAGATCTTTATCATCAGCCTTTTCTCATCTTGAAAATCATGACTTTCCTGTGACGGCGTCTGGGTCACATTGAAGGTGGTGTCATTGAATGAGGTCTCCATTGTTGGAGACAGTGAGGATGTGCTGGAAAAGGTTAATAGCCAGGTAGAAGTGGCTGTTGTAAGTTAGTATTCCTACAGGGGGGACTTCAGGCTACCAGCTGCTTAACAGTCAACTCTGGACAATATGGCAGTGGCCTCTCCTGAGCCATGCAGGGCCTGCACACCCGGGCTGGGTAGGGGATGGCACTCAGTGACAGCTCAGGTCTCTGACCCACCAAGGAGAATTCAATTAGAACCTTTCTTGATGGAAATTGAAGAAACAGTTATCCTTAAGGGAGTCAAGGTCCCCAAAATCAAGAGCATAAGAGCCCCCGGCAGTGTGGTTAAATCCCAATTCGTTCCAAGCAGCATCTCTCTCTTCCTTAATTCTTTGGAGTCCCTAAAGGCATAGGTGTTTGCTTAGAATGCCATTCCATTAGTAATCACCGTTGGCAGTAAGAGCTAGACATAGCTCATTTTTCTACCAGAAAGTCACCAGATGAGAGTAATAGTTAAATCTCTTGATAATTTGAGAGCTGACGGACAGAACTTAGGATGTAGAAGTCAGATTCCTTTATATAAAGGTTGTACTTTAGGGGAGAAATACAAAGCCTTATTAGCCATGCAAGAAAATCTGCATATTGTCAAATGTGAAACCAAAATATGAAGAGTTCGGATTGGCCTTGACTCTCTTAAAGATTAAAAGAGCCAATCTTGTACAGAAGTACACAAACTTTTCCTTCTGTCCCCAGGCCCATCGCCTCTTCCCTCCTCAGAGACAACCTGTTTCCCACCTCAGGCATCCAGCAGCTTCCTGCTCACCTCCCCTGCCTCCCGCCCTTCAGGACCTGTGAGGTCTTACCAATAATAACTTTTACTTGCTTCAATTCATTTATACTAAAATGCCCATTCAACCTAAGGGCTTTTTGATCTGTATGTTCAGGTTAGTTCAAAAGTCAGTAAGTATATCATGAGGGTGGAAGCCTGAAATCTCCCTAAGTCTTCTTCACCCCAGGCCTAAAGATAAGCTGTCATGTAGGAGAGTGCAGATTCCAGGGAGGGAAGTGGACACAGAAGCAGCAGAGACTTGTCTTTCCCACACGCACAACTGGTCTTAGGAAAATCACCAGAGGTCTGGCCTCACTGAAGCTACCTTAGGTTCAGCCTGAGAGCTACTGCTTCTGTGAGATCCTGGGCCCAGCCTACCTAATTCCAGGCCATCTGTTGGCTGGGCTTCTGTCGCTCTGCCTTCCTCCCGTCCTTCCCTCCGTGCTTCCACATGAAGCCCAATATATTTCTCTGATCTCCACTTTTTTTTAGAAATTGCCAAAGGAAGATGGGATATGTTCTCTATAATGCTACCAGATAGATTTTTTTAAATTCTTTTCACCTTTTCAAATATGAGAGGAAAGATTAATATCTACGTGAAATTCTCATAACTGTATTGCTCAGGCTGTCTCATAACTGACAACCTGGGGAAATGGTGATACATATACTTCATATATGTAATATATGTAACCAAAGCTCCCGCACCTGGTCAAAAACAAGATGAACTCATTAAATGAATTATGTAATGTCTTCCTACTAAATTATGTACCCTGAGCACTCAGTAGTAAACACACAAGAAACCTTTTCTAATATTTATTTTCCAAACAGATATGAGATCAAAGACCCAAAAAGAGCTCACTCGTCCACTTGGTCATTGTTAAGTGATTTGTTTCTTTCTATCTCAGAGAGAAAAATCCCAGATGAAGATTTCATCATCTTAATTGATGGATTAAATGAAGCAGAATTTCACAAACCGGATTATGGGGATACAATTGTATCATTTCTGAGTAAAATGATTGGAAAATTTCCTTCCTGGCTCAAACTAATTGTAACAGTTAGGACCAGTTTACAGGTATGTGTTTGTTTGCTTTTGGACCATAAATTGTTTCCCTTGGAGACTGCTTAAACTGCAAAAGCTCTAGTTCCTGATTGCCTTAGTGATGCCTTTATAAGCCTCTGTGTTGTCCTAGAGCATGAGCAAGAATAATTCCCAAAGACCATCCTTTTAGAGTAAGAGATCAGATGTAGAGAGAACATTCTCTTAGCTTATGTTCCCGTGGTTCTGGATATGTTTTTGATAAAGTGCCCTTCAAAATAGCATGAAAAAAAAGATCCTTTTTCTGGACTTTGCCCTGAGGACAGTGATAGAAATGGAGTCCCCGATACTCTAATTTACTGCTTGACTTTGGTTTCACATTTTTAGTCTTTAAATGCTATGCAAATTCCAGATCAATCTAGAATCGAATTTTCTAGTTCCTTCCTCTGCTTTTACTTGAACAGCTTTTCCATTGCATGAAGGTGGACTTTGTGTTGTATGTGCCTTCCTCCAAGAAATATTGACAATATTATGGGTTTAGATTAAATTCACTAGAACTGGAAGATGAGTTTTTCCATTATCTTCTCTGCTCATTCGCTGGTCACTTAATGACCTAACGGAAGGACTCTGATGGAGCACTGAGCCTGCAGAGATCTGCGAGCTGTGGATCAGTGACCCCACCTTCCTGCATTCTCATTGTAGCTGAGATGGTATCTCCCATTCTTTACATATTCACACTTGGTTTGGAACAGAGTACCTAAGTCTTTTTTTTTTTTCCCTAAACCATTACCTCTTGTGATGAACATTAAAATCTCACATTATGTACCCATTTCTCATTTTGATGCAGCCCCCTCATAACAATTGCTAATGTACAGAAAATAATCTTAGTTCCCTCATTTCCCCCCTCCCAGGCACTTACTCCTATATACTGACCAACTATTACTAGCTTAATTGCCTTCTTTTACCAGAAACTACACTTCCAATCCTGGCCATCCCCCTGCAGATGCTTTTTGTTAATCTCGAAGCAATTTGAGTGGAAGACTATGGATGAATCTATGTAAATGCATCTTTACAACTAAAGTAATATTGTCTACCACTGTTGGTCAGTAGCTTGATTATTAAAGATGAAGAAAATAGAAGACAGTTCCCATAACACAGTCTATGACTAGTTTTATTAAATGTTTGCTTAACCATGTTCTCATCCATATTTTCACATGTGCAGTCTCACAAAATTAGCAGAGCAGATTACTTTAGTTTTTCAGCCATGCCAAAGAGCAGGAAGAATACATGGCAGTCTGCAAAAACCACATTTCAGTGTCTTCACAGATCAAGACCTACAGTAACTTCCCAAATACTTCACTTCAACCAAGGGTTTTAAAAAATGTGTTTTATTCATCTTAGACAGTAAAGTAATATGTAAGTCTTTAAAAAATGAGCCATCATATTTGATCATTATATTCCCCAACATTTCTTAAGTATGTCAGACACTAGTCTCACATCTAAGGATACAAAACACTGAACAAGACAGACAATACCCTACCCCTGCCCACATAAAGCGCATGTTGTAGTGAGGAGCACAAGCTACGGATAAGCAAAAAAGTGTAGACATGTTAAAATTTTAGGTCGCGTTAAGTGCTGTGAAGACCAGTGGAATAGGGTAAAGGGGTAAGTGGGGTTGAAGGTATTTTGAATAGGGTGGGTAGAAAAGCCCTCTTCAGGGATCTTCTAAAGTTCTGAGATCTGATTTGCCTTTTTTAGAGGATTTCTTTGGCAGCCATGTAGGAAATAAAATGTAGAGGATCAAAAACAGAAGCAGAAGTACAGGTGAAAGGTGATGGTGACTCAGAGTTGATTGTGGTGGAGACCCTGGAAGTGGCCATAGTCTGGAGTTATTTTGAAGGAGAATCAAAAGGACTTGATAATGGGCTGAATGTGAGTGTGAGCAAAAGAAAGGATTCAAGAATGAATCATGGGCTTTGGGTGAGCAATTGAAAAAACACTGGCTTAAGGAAAAGAGAAAGATCGCAGACACCACCTCCAGTTTGGTGGTAGGGTTGGTGGTGATATCATTTACTGACATAGGAAGGTTTTGTAGTTGCAGGGGTGGGGGGAGAAATTTAGTTGTTCTGATGTGACCAAATTAAGTTTGTCTATAAAACACCCAAGTGTAAATATTGACTAGACAGAGACATAAGGTCTGAGCTCTGGCAAGAAGACTAAGCCAGAAACATAAAGTTAGACGTCATCGACATGTAGGTATTTAGAACCATGGCACAGAGTTAACTGGTCTAAAAAGTGAAAGAAGTGAGATGAGAGAAAAGAATGGTGCCCCGAGCCCCAGGCAGACTGAGAGATGAAAGGGAAACCAGTGTAAAGGGCTAGGAAGGAGTAGCCAGAGAGCGGAGAGGAAGATGCCGGGACATCAGGAGGAAGGATGTGGCCTCCGGTGTCAGATCTGGCTGAGAGGTTGAGGAAGATGAGGACTGAAGCAAGATGAAGGTTCCCAGTACCCTTGACAAGAGCCTTTCGGTGAGGTAGTAAGGTTGAAGCCTGATTGCAGTAGATGGGGGAGGGGCAGGGAAGGGAGGAATCAGATAGGAAATAGAGAAAACCTTTCCGTGAAACTGCTAAAAATGGCAACAGAGATCTAGGACAGTAGCTGAAAGGAATTGTCTGGTGATCCAGTAGAGGGGACATTGATGCAGGAGAGAGAATGGTACTTACAGGAGCAACGTCCCTGAACAGATGCAAAGAGATGGAATCCAGAGTACAAGAGTCACCACAAAGCTCTGTCAGTATAATTTCTCTACATAGGAATATATAGAATATAATTCTGAGCAGATCACCAAGGTACTTCCCACCATTCGAAGTGTTCCTCAGTCCTATATTAGAATAAAGTCATTTACTTCTGAGGGCTAGAAAGCCACATTTTTATATGGTATTTTTGAGTCTTCCTACATTTCTCTTACTGAATTGTACTTTGGCATTGTGCCACTGTTGACCCTGAAAAAAGTTATAACAAAAGAGAAAAGAGTTATAACAAAAGAGAAAATGACACTCCATTGTCTATTTTAGGGATATTATTTAGAATATTACCATGAAATTGTTCCCAAGATACCCCTTGAAGAACCATTAAAAATTATCTTAATTCTCAATATTAGAAAAAGTTGTGACCCTCCCGTGCAACTAATTGTTTTAATCTGTGGATTCTAATTCTTGGTTATGGTTCCCTCTCTTCCTTGGATGCTCTGAAGTTCAGACTCAGTTTGTGGACCTCCTAGTTTATCACAAGAGTTAGGGGAAACTGAAGGTCTTTCTATCTCTCTCCCTCTCTATCTGTTTTAGGAAATTACCAAGCTGCTGCCTTTCCATAGGATATTTTTGGATCGACTAGAAGAGAATGAAGCCATAGACCAGGACCTGCAGGCTTACATCCTGCACCGGATACACAGCAGCTCAGAAATCCAGAATAACATTTCACTTAATGGCAAAATGGACAATACTACATTTGGCAAACTCAGTTCTCACCTCAAGACCCTCAGTCAAGGGTCCTACCTATACCTGAAACTCACATTTGACCTCATAGAGAAAGGCTACCTAGTATTAAAGAGCTCTAGCTACAAAGTAGTTCCCGTCTCGCTCTCTGAAGTCTACCTACTCCAGTGCAACATGAAGTTTCCAACCCAGTCTTCCTTTGACCGGGTGATGCCTCTCCTGAACGTGGCAGTGGCCTCTCTCCACCCACTGACTGATGAGCATATCTTCCAGGCCATCAATGCTGGCAGCATCGAAGGCACACTGGAGTGGGAGGATTTCCAGCAGAGAATGGAGAACCTCTCCATGTTCCTAATCAAGCGCAGAGACATGACCCGGATGTTTGTACATCCTTCTTTTCGAGAATGGCTTATCTGGAGAGAAGAAGGAGAGAAAACAAAATTTCTCTGTGATCCCAGGTAAGCCAGAAGTACTGTAATAAGCAATTCTGAGCCTGTTTTGTATTTGTCAGTGGAGCGTGAGTATGGAAAGCAGGGAGTGGTGTTCATTTAGATATCGCACACGATGGGGACATCAGCCCTGTTCCTTCGGTAATGAGGCTGTAATGAGGTCAACTCACTCTCATCGCGTTATTTCCTTAAGATATTTAAAGAATCTGCGCAGATATTTATACTGCTCCCCTGTGTTCCTGTGTTTTCCTAAATAATTTTCTCTGTCCCCGCTAGGGATCCCAGGCTATAATTAATTTAGCCACTTGACATAGGAAGAAACGAGTGACGTGTTGTTCATCTCTTTGACTTAGGGCAGAACCATTGTAAACTGTTAGTGCCCTTGTAATGCTATCAGTGACTGTCATGAAAGTCACCTGTGAGTGACTCCGTGAACGCCTACCCAGTGGGCTTCACTCTGGAAGGCAGTGAAAAAGACATACAGAGGTGAGCTGATTCAGCCACTCTACCTTTAGATAAATAAGGTTTTGTCCCTATTTTACTATCAAGGTCTTAAGGTACTGAATCACTTGCCCAGTGTCACTAAGTTAATAAATAGGTGGGAGAAAAGAGGAAGGACTAGAACAGGGATGGCAGTGCGCCCCACCCTCCCCATCCTGGGCCAGACTGCCCCAACACTCCTGGTGAGCTCGACCCTGACTTAAGTATTTTTCTCACCTCAGCAAATGTGACGAGATGTGAAACTATTTCCCTTTATCTTAGGTAAATGTCTAGCATCCTGCTAGGATGTGCACCCTATTCCATACCTCCTTTTTAAAACAATTATTCCCTTAATAAAGTTGGTTTTAAAAGTAGGTATATTCTTGATTTCTGGGGAACAGAGCAGACGCCAACAACCTAGTCAGCAAAAGCAGCTTATTCTAGCTCAAAAAGAAGACAGACAGTTCGACTTGGCCACCCTCTGGGACTCACCCAGAGACTAGCCCTCTCTGCCCGTGCTGGGGTTTCGTTGCTGTTGGGGGGCTCTTCTCCAGGCCTTACTAGAAACGCCACAGGGGGCAGGAGCCGTTCAGCCTGCTTCATGCCAGCTCATTTGAATGTGAGTTCCAGCTTCTGATGAAGATACTCAGCCAGTGATGGGTTTTGTGGTATTTTCCTTGAGAGGGAAACTTTAAAGGAATTTGCTGCAGTGGAAAGAACATGAACTTCTGAGTCAGATTACCTGCATGTAAAGCCTACCTTTTCTAAGAACTGTGACCTTTGGAAAGTCCCATGATGTTGCTGAGGCAGTCTTTTTATCTACATAAAAGGGATAATCATTTCTAGAGCTATTGAGAATCAAGTGAGGTCATGTAGAAGAAGGCCTAGAATAGTACAGAGCACAAAGAAAGTATTCAGGGAATGTTCTTTTCCTCCCCTTTCTCTGCAGTAATAGACCCTTCACCTACACCTTGACTGAATCCTGTGCTAATTGAATAGGCAGCAACAGTCTCTGCCATTAGCAATTTGGGGCACAAGACTTAAGAAGGAAACAACAAAACTGAGTCTGAGTCTCTTCTGTGAAATGTATGGCATCCCCAAGAGGATTTTACTATAACCCCTACTCGTACCACTGTGGATGCTTAACACCTGCAGTTGGCAACCACAGATTTTTAAAAAAAAAGAGACCAATCTAGAATTGCCTAATAAACACTTTGAAATAAGTCTCCTGCGAGAGTTTCCCAGCTGATCTCTTCTCATCCTGGAACATCTCAGGATTTAAAAGCTGAGGTACGAGGCAGCCACACTCCCATGGCACTGACGCAACAGCGTCAGGGTGCCCAGAGGAGAAAATACGGTGTTTACATAGCCAGGCCATGGCTGTGCAGTCTCGGCATCTCAGCACCATTTATTGACCAGGAGCATTTCTGCAACAGGCTGATGTGCTGGGACAAACTCAAACATGACTTACTACGTCACCTGTTCCCTGGTGATTAACATTGGGGACTGCTGAGGGATCGTCATGTATCACCCAGTGGCAGAGAGTAAAAGAGTGAACAGAACCAGGACTTAGCAGAAAAGCTTCCTTCTATCGCTCACCGTAGCTTTCTGCCTTCTACCCAGCACTGCCTCACCCCAGCTTCGTTTCTAAAGTATTGATCTCAGAGCTTGAGGCCCCCGGGGTCAATGAGATGGAAATTCACTGAGAATTTAATGCTTTTGGCAAAGCCCAGGACTTTCAAAGAAACTGGATGCAATTGCTTTCCATTTCAGGCGAATCTGATTAATAGGATTCCCCAGGCAGGGTTTGTCTTTGTGAACGTCAGCCCCTGCTTCCTGCCCATGTCCCTGTGTTCTCTGCTTTCTCTCTAGTTTCTTTCTAGAGCATCTAACACCTTTCAGCATTCTGTGGGGGGCCACTCAAGGCTTCTGAAACCCCACTAGGCCGGTGTCCAACATGCATGTCTCTGTGGAGGGAACCTCTCTCTGACAGGCCTTTGCTGGGCTTTCAGCGCGCTCTCGTTCTTTCTGAACTTGTTGGCCTTATTAGGGAATTAGACAGAGAGGAATATTCTAGTGAGGCCAAAAAGCAGTTGATCTTCATCAAAAATAGGCCACCCAGGGAGATACTTCGGCTAAACTGGAGAGAGTCAGTAATCTGAGGATGGTGCTAGAAAGAGGAAGTAACAGAGCCAGAGGTCAGCACTGTAGCAGCTGAGCTAGTTTTCTTCATTTTAAACATCAGACTGCCTGCCTATTGTCCCAGAATCAACCAGGCGGAGCTCTGACATTCCAGAAAGAATGGCCTGAAGTTGCATAGACGTATAACTGTCACAGAAAGAAATTAAGTGTAGATGTCTTTTCTTGGCTCAGTAACAGTCTGCCTATGTTTATCAACCTCTCAGTATCACTGAAAACTCTTTAATCACATGAAAACTTAAAAATCTCTAAAATCTTTTCAAGTTTTAAATAAAATATGCCCCTTGCCACACTTGCAAACCTGAGACCTTATCACCTTATTTTGATTTCTTTTTCCCACTATTCATCACTGTCATACTCTGTCATACTCTGAAATTAATCTGCCCTATATTTTATTCCCTCAGGCACTGAGAGATCAGATTAACTCACTAAGCCAATAAACCAGTCTCTGCTATTATGTTAATAAGAGAAAGGGTAGAAAACCCATTTGAAACACCATTTGCATTTTCAGTAAATTTTAAGTAAAGCCTTTGAGAGGAGTAGTCACCAGCCTTTGTTATCCAACCTTTTAGAAACGGGGAATAGTTGAAATTTGAGGGTCATAGAGTAGACAGTTAGGGGCCACCAGCCTTGTGCCGTGCACTTACGGCCTAGTACTTCTGCACAGCTTTAGGCTTGCCCTGAATGAGTCTCCACTTTTTTCTGTTCTCCTTTCCATCCTCATTCTGTCTGTGTTCACGCCAATCCAGCCTCCTTCCCAGGGATCACTCGCAGATCATCTCAGGTTAGTCGAGAGCTAATGATTTTGATATGAAGATGAGACTACCCCAATGCCTTCCTTTTGACTGTTTGACTAAAACACAGGAAATTTGGGAGCTTTATTTAATGAGTGTTAAACTGCTATAACCTAATGAGGTGGTGATTTGGAAGCCTGATCTGGGTTGCCCTGATTCTCAAACTAGAAGTAAATTTTATGTCAGGTGGGTAAAGGCTCTGTACTTTTGGAAATAGTTGAGTATTTGATTGTTTGCGACCAGAGTTGATTACTTATAATAAAAGTCCTCCTGAGATTTTTCCTGTTTTCACTATGTTGGCCAGTGAGTTACACATTGAAGACTTAATGCTCCAAAGTAGATGCCACAGAGTAGTGTCAGAGAAGAGGCCTTTTGTCTTGGGAAAAAATAAGGTGTTCTCACTATACAGAAAAACCTACTCCATGCTGGAAACCTATATTGCCTGCTTTTCGTAGAACACAAGCATCTGAAATGACCAGAAATATTGAGTTGCACGGCATGGTGATTTTGCTTGCTGGGTTTTTTAATCCAAACTTGAGTCTCCAGAGAGGATAACGGTTAACCAGCTTTAATCTCACAGAAGCACAAACTTGAGGTTACCCCTACAGCCATTGCAGGCTCCCACACCAAATCTTCAATCAGGGGGTAGGTTGTGCTTCCTAAAAGCCTGGGGACAGGATTCAGCAAAGTGATGGATCATGAGAAAAGGAAAAAGGGCTCCTGGAACTGAATCAGCCCTTTCGACGCTGGAGGAGTCAGAGCAAAGGGAAGGGGGATGGATGTACTAGGCATCTTCCACTAGCCAAACCACTGGTAGCTAGCCCTCCCTGCCTGGAAATCTGGAAATAGTAACTCTAATCTCAGTTCTGGGTCTAGATCTGCTTTTCATCCCATTCTTTCCTACCAAAGGGGAAGTCAGTCTTCTGATACCATGATTTGGATACGTGATTTCCAGGGAGAGATTTACTGATCTGTAATATTATTGGGTATTTGTCTTAATTTGCCAGTATATTGTTTTCTTTATTATCTAATCCAGTTTCTAACTCACTGTAGGCATCAAGGATAAATTGGAGACTCAGACCTGAAGTACTGCTGTAGTGTTGCAAGGTCATGGTCTTGTTATATAATGCAAGCGAGAAACGACATGAACTCTCATGCTTAGCTTGGAATATGTCCACTTCACCTTCTGTCTTACTCTGCATGAATGTCCTTCAACTTTACAAGTTTGTTTTCTCTTAGCATAAGTCATGGGACCCGTGTCTATTAATCAAATAGGCAAACTGTTCCCACCTTACTTCCAAAAATGGGCAGCAGTAACAATATTCTTTCCTTTTTCCAAATCCAGATTAACTGATAATCAGAAGCCTTCTCCAACCATTTAAAATTGAGAACTGTGTGTTCTTATAAAAAGTCACATGAAATTTTCTAATAAATATATAGAAAAATAGTTCTGCTGTGATAAAATAGAAAGAGAGCATCATTATTAATAAATTATGTAATACTGTATAAGGTGTGTTTTTTTTTAGAGGGGGTGTA